AAAAAAACTTTATGAATTTTAACGGGAAACAATTAACGATCATCTATATATTCCATATACGTTAACAGTATTGAACAACAGGTGAACGGGGTTTGGATCGATTCGGTTCCTCAATGAATTACACGTTCAAAACGATGAATATCCAAAATGCAACTTGTTTTGCAGGATCTCCTCTCAAATGTCAATAAGATGGCGTCGTTTCTAGGCGTGACTTATGACCAATCATTCCTGGAGGAGGTCACTGACAGATGTACGTTTAAAACAATGGTGAAAACAATCATAGACGAAATCAAACCTCAAGATCAGGAGTTTATACACAGAATGTCCGACGAAAAGAAATTACCAATCTACAGGAAAGGTAATACACACGATAAAACATGTATATCTCTCACTGTGAAAGAATCAGAGTTAATCAGCATTATAATATCATTTTGGGTTTTGTCCAATCAGAACGGCATTTTGTATTCATTTCATTCACATCTTTCTAATTCCAAATATTGCTTAAAATCAAAACTGCTCTTATATTATCCACTCTAGAAAAAGAAAAATAAAATAAAAAACAAGAACAGGGAGTACCGAAGAGTCATCAAATCTTCACATTTCGAATTTCAAAATCGATAAAACTTTGGCAAAATAAGTAAAAATGAGAGTTTTACATGAAGACTCTTGTAACAGTTCAAGGAGAATAGGACCAGGTGTTCCGGAAGATATGCTCCATAACTGCTATCAGGATAGCCTATTTTCACTCATTTAAATATGCCAAACAGACATTACTACTTTGAGATATCCTGATTTTCATACCTGTACCTATGTTTGCATTTCCAGGAGAGGTCGGAGATTGGAAGAACCATTTCACTGTGGCACAAAACGAAGTATTCGACAAACTCTACCAGGAAAAAATGCGAAACTCAAAATGTAAATTCAGATTCGAGTGAAAGGAAATAATTTGTTACGATCCAAGTAATCGGGAAAAGTATCGACGAATACAAACATAACTGTTTCAGATGTTAACATTTAGGGGAGCACAATATTTTAGATAAATAAAAAAGAATGATTTTAGAAATTCGAAAGTGGCAAAAAAAAATCCATCTAGATCCGATAAGATATTTAAATTAGAATCGTGTGTAATCCCCTATCAGGATCTGGTGGAGGGGACTTTTTGTAATGTTTATTTGTTTCGTGTTATTTATATAAATCGAAGCTGTGCTGTTTAATGGCTTTATTTCCACAAACCTCCGGAGAGGGTG